TTAAAATAACAATCAGTATTAAATTTTTTTAACTTCTATACTTAATTGTTTGTGAAAAAAAATTCACAATTTTATAATTTTCCTTATTAGATTATTTATTGTAATTAATGTTCATTAATAAGACAGTCCAAATGCTATTACATTTGAAATGTGGTTATTCATATCTAATTGTATGTTTGTTACCTATGACATTAATATTGAAATATTACAAAAATAGTAAAGTTGATGTTTTTGGTCCAAAATATTAAGAAGCCACACAATCAAGAGATTACTACAATCAAATTTTATAGTTAATGTAGGTGCTTGGGACTGGTTTCTTCTAAGAAATCATGCCTGATGGAACAAATAGACGACAACCTTTCCAACGGTCAAAAGAATAGCAATGGTCGAAGCACTGACAGAATTTTAGAGAGATAGGACCTAACAATCTTCCTCTCCTCTTAAGAATTTGAGAACTCCAAGCAACCTTTTTTCTTCATTTATTTTTACATTATTCAATTCCTATTTCTTTAATAATCAAACACCTAAACTTCAATTTTTACATACATGCCACTTTACCTATGCAGGAAAAGGTGTATTTCACTTTTTTAAAGTTATAATGGTTTAATTTTTAGTGTGATATGAAATATTTGGGTGATATAAATGTAAAAAGTAAAGTTTTTCTGTTAGATATTTACATATATACAAATTGGGTAGTACATATGTAAATGTGCAAATTTTAGTTGCAACATGTCTCTTCAAAGTAAAGAACAAAAGGAATTCGTGCCTGGAAAGCACAGAAAGATTAATCTAACTTTTTTTATGCAACTTAAACGAGTAGATTATGGTCAAATATACCATGGGAGTCAGGTGAGTCATCATTTGTTTTGGTTGATGAATTTTTCTCCCTCCCCTCCGCCCTTCCTGCCAACTGCGAACAAGGGAATGCACAAGTAAATTGACACAAAAAAAAAAGGTATTACTGCATCGTTAATCTCTTCCTCTCAGAGCAAATACAAAACAAACCCTAATTGATAAGAGGAAGTGGAATTTTTTGGGGACAGAACAGGCACCAAAAAGTAAATGGATGTAATTCAAAATATCAAAAAGCCATCAAATCTGAAGAAGCCCCCCGACATACATTACGTAATCAGAAGAAAAATTTTCAAAGCAACAGTAACAATACGGAACTCAGAGAAGTTTCGGTAATCCTGGAACATCATAGACGACTTCAATTGTCCCTCTTTGATAAACAGAAGACAAAAAGAAAGAGACAAACCAGGAAAAAAAAGCATTTTTTTTCATTTTTTATTTTTTAAAGGCAGGAATTAAAGAATACCTTCGGCCCCAATGGCTTCAAATGGCCTCTCGAGGGAGAGCCCATAGATGCTCGCAATATCTGGCAAACAGACAAATGACAGTGGGCGGCGGGCGGAAGGTCATGGAATTGGACAGAGCAGACTTCTAAACCAATAAAATTGAGATTGGGGAGAGGAGGGAGCCATGAACTAAAAATAGGAACGATCATTGGCTCTTCTATTTTGTCAGTTCTCCAAAGTTTATCATCACAAAAATGTATTTTGATGGATTTTATTTTAATTTTTTTTAAATAAAATAAAAAAAATGATCGTGGTGATTCATAGTAGAGACCGGACACCGTATGTATAAAATAATTTCTCCTTTCTTTGAGATTTTAATTGTATTATTAGAATTAAGGTGGAGAGGTTTTCTTATTTGCCTAGTAAATTAGTGAATTTTAATAATTGCATTTTTTAAGCTAGCTTAATTCAGTTGTATAATTAAATATTCAGCTGAATAATACTATTACATGTCTTCTTGGTAGAGCATGGTGTAAAGTTTTAAACGATTTCTCCCCTGATCAACATCTCATAAATATTCATTTGGGTAAATCAAATTACTTGCATTGTGGATTCATGCATAAAAAAAACTTTAGAGTTTGTCTTAATTTTTATTTTTTTATTTGGAAGACTCATGTTAATGGTAGTTCTATCTTTGCTTTATGTAATAAGCGTAAGAATGTTAAAATTATTTTGAAAATTTGTAATTGAAATTCTTATAATACTTTTTCTGCTCATATTTCTTCTCTTTATCTTAAACTTAATGAGATACTGAATGAATTAGATTATCAACCTCTTTCGATTGACTTGATTAGGCAAGCCTTTTCTATTCATAATAACATTTCTAATTCTAATATTTGTAATTATTAGTGGGCTAAGCAAAGAGTTAAATGTTTTTGGATTTCTAATGGGGAATATAATATTAAGTTTCTTTATAAAAAAGCTAATATTAGACATATAATTCTCATATTATTAACGATATTTAAGTTAATAATGATTATGTTTCTAGACAAGATGATATTATTAGTGAAGTTATAGCTTTTTATTCTTGTCTTTTAAATGAGGATATAGTTTATGATGATATTATTATGGATTCTTTATTTTTTATTCTCATTATGTTTCTAATGAAGATTACTTTTTTATTCAATCTTTTTCTAATGAGGATATTAAGAAAGCTTATTTTTCTAGGCTCTAATATGGCTTCTGAGCCTGATGGTCTTTCTTTGAAAATTTTTAAAAATTGTTGGCATATTGTTGGTCATAATTGATTATGGTTATTAACCATTTCTTTCATACTTCTATGCTTCCTCATAGAGTGAAGCATATTGTTATTATGAGTATTCCCAAAAAAATTTGAAGCTAAAATTTTTCTTGATTATAGACCGTTATCTTTATGTAATACTTTTTATAAAGTTATTACTATCCTTATTACTGATAGAGTTAAAACTGTTCTTCCAAATTGACTCATGTTTAAGTTGCCTTTATTAAAGGAAGGGATATTGCTGAAAATATCATCCTTGCAAATAAATTACTTTATGGTTTTAATTCAAAATATTTTGTTAAAAGATTTTGTTTTAAGATAAATATTTGTAAGGATTTTGATAAAGTTGATAGAACTTTTCCTTATAATCATATAAGAAAGCTTTCTTTCTCTCAAATTTTTATTCATTGGATTATTTACTGTACTAAGGATGCTAATTTTAATGTTATTATTAATACAAAGCTTAAATGTCACTTCTCTTCTTAATTTGGTTTGAGATAACACTGCCCCATTTCTCCTTTCCTTATTGTTATTGTTATTAATGCTTTATTTGTTTTATCTTGATTCTTATTCTTCTAATTAGATTTTTCACCCAATCTAAGTTGATAATATTCTTTAATTTGGGAAAGCTTATTTATACTCTACTACATTTATTAAAGATATATTGAATAAGTTTAGTAGTGCCACTAATCTATTTGTTAGTAATTCTAAATTTTTTATTGTTATTTCTAAGTATGTTAATAATATTACGCAAAAATGAATTTGTGTTATTTGTGGGCTTACTCTTAGATCTTTTGCCTTGTAATTACTTGGGTGTCATTATTAAACCTACTAAGTCGGATATGGCTAACTGTCCTATTCTTATTGGTAAACTTAATAAGTGATTAGCTGGTTGGAAGCAAAAGGTTTTATCTATTGATGGTAAATTTCAGCTTGTTAAGTTTACTACTTAGATTTATTAGTATTTTTTATTTCATTTTTCTGTTATTCTTAAAAGCGTTAGAAAGAAAATTACTTATAGGATATCAAAATTTTTGTTACATAATGATAATCATAGTAGACATCATACCATTTTATGGAGTAAGATTAGTTTACCTAAGATTTATGGTGGGTTGGGTATGGGTTGGGTATTTCTTCATTGGATAATATTAATTTTATGTGTAAAGCTAAAATTATTTGAAAGTTATATAATGTTATATCTGATCAGTCTAAATGGTTTTTAAATTACTATATTCCTTTTAATTTGAATCTAGTAATTTTTCCACTTTGTTTTGGAAGGAT